TTGGGCCAGTATTTGTAAAATCTACTTCAGAAGGCTGTTGTGGGAAAAATAGGAGAGACTGCTATGTATTCTGCCTTGATTTTATAAATGAAATGCATTTTATGGATAAATAATCTGCAATTTACCCAATCGAGGTATCAATGTATGTATATTAAAATAATTTAATTTTAAATCTTGTGGTCCAACAAAAGCAAATATTTCCCCTTCAGGATATTCAGATTTCCAAATGATCAATATTTTCCTTTGATATGTCATGGCAAGTATAACTCAGACAAATAGGATTATATGCTAAATCTTCAAAATAGCAATAAAGCAACACTTAACTTGTCTTATTTTTATTTTTTACATTGTAGGGAGACAGTGGTGGTCCTCTGGTGTGCTATTTCCCAGATACAAACAAATATTATTTAATAGGAATCACCAGTTCTGGTGTTGGCTGTGGCAGACCAAAATTTCCAGGACTCTATGTGCGTGCTGCAAGTTACAAAAAATGGATACATTCATATTTATCTAACAAAACAAATATTGTAAGCCTTCAGCTTGCCTTAATTTTGGGAACTGCTGGATGGATAACGTTCCATATTGCATAAAATTCAAATTTTATTGAAATAGGGTAACAGCTGATTAAGTTTTTTTTCTTTTCATTGCAAACATAACATTTTTCAGAAAATTCTCAGTAATGGAACTAATTGATTTAAGTGGTAGTTCAATATAATAAACTTAGTATTCTAATCTTAGTATTCTAATCTGCTACATGCACACATACTTAGAACTTAACATTTACTTAATCTACATTTTAAATATAAGCACCACTGTTATGAATCGCTTATGCGCTATAAAATATATAAAAACGATCACACTATTAAATTTTTTTTATTTATTTAAAGACTCTATAATCGCTTAATGAATTCAAAGTCCTGTCTTACACATGTTCCTAACATTTCCATACTGTTTATAGCATTTCAAAAATAAACATTATTTTACAAATGTGTGAAATTGCAGAAAAACATATAGAACAGCCATTCTCTTTCAATTAATTACACCTTAGAAGTAAAAACAGAGACACATAGATAACATAATAAAGTGACTAAATTAGTGGATCAGAGAAATGTTATGAATATAGTTTACTTGTACTTCAATAAGGCATTTGGCAAAATAAACCACAATTTTCGTCTTGGTAAGATAGAACAATGTGGGATAGACAGTACCACTACCAAATGGATTTGCAGTTGGCTGACCAAACGCATTCAGTGTATGGTCCTTAATGGAATTACATCTACATGGAGGGAAGCATGCAGTAGGGTACTTCAAAATTCTGTCTTGAGTCCAATGTTCTTCAGCATCTTCATAAACGATCTAGATGAGGGATAGAAGGGGAATTCATAAAATTTGCAGATAACACCAAGCTGGAGGGGAAGGGGGAAGAACTGGCAACACCTTGGAAGATAGACTCATGATTCAGAAGGATCTTGACAGACTCAAGCATTGGGTCCTAGCCAATGAGATGCAATTCCGTGGTGAGAAAAGCAAGGTTCTGCACCTAGGCAGGTAAAACTAAATGCACAGCTATAGGATAGGTGGTACCTGGCTCAACAACAATAACTACAAGAAATATCTTGGGGTCCTAGTGAATCATCAGTGTGCTGCAGCTGCCAAAAAAGCAAATGCAATCCCGGGCTGCAACAACAGAAGGGCAGCATCAAGATCACAAGAAGTGATAGCACCTCATTATATTGCACTAGGAATACTGCATCCAGTTTTGGTTACCACGATACAAAAAAGATGTTGAGACACTAGAAAGAGTGCAGAGAAGAGCAACAAAGATGAGAGGCTAAACTGTATGATGAATATTTATGGGAACTAGGTAAATCTAACCTAATGAAGAGAAGTGATGACATGATAGCTGTCTTCCTATATTTGAAAGGTAGTCACAGGGAGGAGGGAGTCAACTTACTCTCCAAAGCATCTGAGGACAAGAGAAGAAGAAAGGTGGACGTTCGTTAAAGAGGGATCCAATCTAGAAGGAGAAATTTCCTGACATGAAGAATAATTATTCAGTGAAACAACTTGCCTCCTAGAGTTGTGGGTGCTCTGTCGCTGGAGGTCTTCAAGAACAGATTGGACAGCTACCAGTATTAGTCTGCTCAAAATCATAAGCACAATTGTAGTTTTACTTAGAGACCACTCTGCTTAATGACCAATTGTGGTAGCTAAACAATGACTGCCTTATCATTCTTTCTCTTCATTCAGTAAAGTACCATTCACTTAGCCTTGAGGCAACAGAAAAATGATACCATCAAAAAAAAAAATTATGTCCTCATTGCCAACCCATATCTTGGCGGAATGGCTTCTGTGCTGGTTTGTCACCTGATGGCATCCCAATTTCAGGTGTATGGGACATTTTAATCCAAATCATTAAGCTTTCTAAACTATCCACCCTCTTACGGAATATCACCAAAACGAAAAATCCACCAATCAGAACATTTGGAAGTTTAGCCAACTGTCAAAATGTGCAGCCTCCTCAAATATGCTGACCAGTTGATCCACAGAATGTGAAAGCTAACCTATTAGGCAGGAGAGGTCTCCTGCTTTTACTAGGCAGTCTGCCTTCAGCTCTTCAAGTGGGTTTATTTTGACAGTGGGGTTGTAATCTTTTCAAAAAACACTAAAATCATACTCAAAACTATAGGAAAGCTGAGCCATGTAGCACATGTGTGTGTGTGTGGTGGGTGTTGCCTGATAAAATGAGAGAGGTTGTCCTGGAGTTGCTATATTCTGAACATGATTGGGTTAATTTTAGAAGTCCATCAGACAACTCATGTGGATGGTGAAAGATAATCAATATGGAGAAGTCTGTACTTCTGAACCCATCATTTCCAATATAGTATGTATAATGTACATGTACAGTACCAGATAATCCATGGTCTCCATAGATAGAGCTGATGAGTCCAGTGAAATAGCTGGGATTTCTGATTCCCCAAAAGAGGAAAGGCCATGAAGGATAGTGCCTAAGATTGAGAAGGGAGGGGGATGCACAATCAACTTTCTGTGTATGTGTGTATGTATGAAAATTCCTGTTACGAAATATTGTTCAAACATGGATTTCTGAATTAAAAGCTACACATTAGAAGATACAATGATATAATGAAAGCAGCGTAATGTCTCTTCAATGGACTACTTCTTGCAAATTAAATCTGTAAGAGAAAACTGCTCTCAGACTAAGTTGGGCTCTACTGTGGAGATAGCACTTTCATACTTACTCAAGGACTAGAGGAATGCATATTAATGTGGCCATAAGGAAGACCTAATTCTTTGTTCTAAGTTTGCCATATTGGGCTTATAGTATCAGAACCTTGAATGTCACTGAAGATATTTGGATGCTGTATATTCACTAGAAAACTAAATAAGATGAGAGATAGCCTTTATGCGTGCATGCTTATAAATAATATGAGTCACTACTCATTGTTCTTTTTCATTTTTCAGGGGGATAGTGGTGCATAAATGCTTTTTATCAGATTCTAAATACTACATTGTAGGAAACACCAGCTATGGTATTGGCTGTGGCCGATTAAAATTTCTAGGAATTTACACTAATTTGCATGTTCTACGTGTACATTTGCATGTACACTATGTACATGTTCTGTGTGAGGAGACAACTTAGCAAAACCAACATTGTGAGCATTCAGCAGCTTCTTCTTTTTGCTTGTAGTGTGGAACATTCAAACATATGAAGCAACAAAACATGCTTTTTAATGTGCTATAAATATATCACATTGTTTTTTCAACACATTGAATTATCTTGTAATTTCATTATTTCTGAAAAAAATATTATTTAACAATAAAGTCTATCATTTTAATTTGCTCATTGACATATTAAAGCATGCATTTTCATCTGTAATGAACTCTATGAATGCTTTTCATTGTTGTAGGATAGAAAGCCTGTTTCTTTCTGCCCCATATTATAGCAAGCAAAATCAAGGTGGGGTTGAGTTAATAGGTGCATTCAGCTGCCCAGAGGATGGAATGAGAGTGTGATGTTGTGGTTAAGGTATCAGACTGGCACTTGGAGAGCCAGGTTCCAGTTTACCTTGAGCCACAGAAACTCAGTGGGCGAGTTTGGGGCCATCATTTCCCCTCAGCCCAAGTGCCCAACCAAAGGTTACTGTGCAGGATTGTGGGAAGGAAAATGGGAAGAGGGAGGACTACTGTATGCCTCAAGTTCCTGAATTAAAGACCAACTATAAGTCTAGGCTATAAATACATTTATTTTTTACCTTTCTTATATATGCATAAAGGTATCTGTCATGCTTCCTTTTCCTTCATAATATATAGAAATCCTCTTACATGAATCAGACCACTAGTGTGACTCAGAGTTGCCTATGCTTAATGGCAGCTAATGGGCTTCAGACAGGCAAAGATTAAAAGTCTATCATGGACCCCTGTAACTCGGTCTCCTTCGTCGTCTGTTTCTTTGTCCATTCCATTCAATAAGTCCTATTTCACCAATTTCATGCGTGTTAAAAAGATACAGGAAGATAAGCGGCGTATAAATCGATTACTTCACGGGGATTAGAATCGCATCCTGGCAATTGGTAAATAACCGCAGGGAAGCGGATTAAAACCTCTCTCCCTTTCTCTTCCCTTGGTCCACAACTCGGACCTTTCACGCGTCGGCGGAGGCCGAGTTCCAAGAAGCTGCTGCGGGAGGGCGCGCGAACCACTTCCCTAGGCCTGGTTCAACCGCCCCGCCGGCTCCTTCCAGCCTCCTCCGCTGCGGACGGCGAACGTTTTCTTCCTTGAGAGGATGATTAACCGGAGTTCTCTACTTGCGGTCATTTCCCTTTTTCCCCTGGCGTTGTTCTGCTCTTCCTTTGCGACGGATGGAAACGGTGAGGCGACCTTCTCCCGCCTTCGGTAGTGGGTTGGGCGGGCGCTTAGCCTAGGCAGGCCCGGCTCGTGGTATTACGGGGCGAGGCCTGGGTACGACGCCCGCAGGCCTTCGTACCCAGGAAGGTGTATAGGCGCAAAGCGCTCGCGGTCCGCTCCCGGCTCTTACTTTGCGGCATCTCTTAACTGGCAAACCCAAATAGCCGCCTGGTTCATTTGAAGTGGATATACACGTCCGTTCAGGAACATATTTTGGAAACTGGCTGGCTTTCTTTTTTAAACTTAAGTTGGACCTTCATAGAATCAGTGGGCTGGAAGTGACCTCGGAGTCTTCTAGTTCAAACACCAGCTGAAGGCACAAGCCTTATCAGTTAAATGGTTGTCTGATCTATTCTTGAAAATATGTAGAGAAAAAGCATCCACAACTCTAGGAGGCAATCTATTCCACTGATTAATTCCTCTCACTATCAGAAAATTTCTCCTTACTTCTAGGTTGGATCTCCTTTTCACAGGTTCCGCTCATTACTTCTTGTCCTGCCCTCTGGTGCCCTATAGAATAAGTCAATTCCCTCTTCTTCCTGACAGCCCCTCAAGCACTGGAAGACAGCTATCATATTCCCCCCAACCCTTGGGTTCAATAGGCTAGATATGCCTAACTCCTCCAACTATTCATTGTATAATTTAGCCTCCAGACACTTTATTCTTTTTTATTCTTCTGTGCACACTTTCCAGGGTCTCAACGTCTTTATTGTATCACGGTGAGCAGAACTGGATACAGTATTACACAAGCTATGCAGGTAGTCCCTGACTTATGACCATTGGTTTAGTGACTCTTTGCAGCACTAGAAAAAGTGTCTTATAACCATTTTTCACACTTAAAGTCTGTTGCAACATCCCCATGGTCACTTGATCAAATTTTGGGCGCTTGGCAACTGGCTTGTATTTTGGGGCTTGGCAACTGGCTTGTATTTATGATTATTGCAGTTTCCCAGGGTCGTGTGATCACCTTCTGACAAGCAAAGTGAATGGGGAGGCCAGATTCATTTAACAATTATGTTACTAATTTAACAACTGCAGTGATTCACTTAACAACTGTGACAAGAAAGGTAAAAGCAAAGCTCATGTCACAACTATCTTGCTTAGCAATAGAAATTTGGGGCTCTATTGTGGTCATAAGTCAAGGACTACATGTATATTAACATTAGCTTGAGTGACAGATACAGCCCACTTTGGAATGCTCTCTGATTCTATACATGTCTTACCTCATTTTTTAATTTTTATATTAATAATCTAGGCAAGTTAGGATTTTTGTTCTAATCTGTATGTGTTTACATTACTTACACTAACACATTTTCCACTTTAGTTATGATCACTGAAGGGATGCGAAATAATTTTGGAATTCTTAACTCAGGTGGTGTAGCCAAGAAATTTGATAATGTTGCTTCTCATTTAGTTCTAAATTATTGCCAAATGTTTTTGAAAGATCAAGAAAACAAACCCAGAGCAAATGGGAGAGATATCCAATATAGTATGCTCTAAACTCTGTTCGGGATGTGGTGGCTCAGTGGCTAAAACGCTGAGCTTGTCGATCGAAAGGTCAGCAGTTCCCAGCTTCTGCCAGTGTGAATTAGCTAGAGTTTTTGATTCTCCAAAATAGCCCATGAAGGATAGTGCCTAAGATTCAGAAGGGAGGAGGACATGCTCACATCAGGATAAAATTACCAGTGTTGGATTGATGATGATCTGACTGTACCACTGGCAACAACCCCTCAGATTTTTCATATCTTGAAGCAAACAATGATCACAATTAGCCTAAGGGAGAAAAATACCCCTCAAATTAGAAGAGCTGAAGATAGTATAGTACTTGCTCAATTATAGATGAACAACAAAATAAAGGCAGTGCCATGAGAATGTGGCAGAAAAAGAGGACTCAGGAGCATATTTTCCTATACATAAATGCAAATGAGGAAACTATATTATTATGTACAAACCAATGTAAAACCAATGGCCATGGCTTTCTATATAATACAATCTCAAGTTTAAATTAAATCATAATAATTTATGTTATTATTGAAAGCGAATGTAAAAATTACAGATAAATTAGATTGTTAAATGGGTTTGGTATTTGCTAAGGTGGCAGAATACCAATTGAAAGGTAAAAGGTTTGTCTGTCTGTCTATCTATCTATCTATCTATCTATCTATCTATCTATCATTAATCTATCTAATTTATATAGACGGCCATCTCGCACACAAGGACTGCAGGCGTCATCGTAATGTATATTGCTTACATGTTGAAGTTTATCTGGTTACTCTAAAAGTTGACTGTTGGTATGCCTTTCTGTAGAAAATTGATACCCTGTGTGAAAATCTAGAAGTGCCATAAATTGGGTAATTTATGCAGGTTTGGGGAGCACTGTCATATAGTATAATCTAGTAAATCTGAGCTATATGTGGACATGAAAATCCCTATAGTACATGTGGTCCTTCTAGAGTTCTTCATAAATAAAAAGGCAACATCTTTAAAAGGAGTTCAACTTCTAATAACTTCATATAGTTCTTTGTAGCAGTGTAGGAGGAGTTTGGCACTGCCTTTTTTCAGGATTTTTTGTTTGTTTTACCTTAATAATGTAATTTATAGACCTGGAATTCTTAGAAGGTTCCAGCCTCTATACCAGTCAGGCCCAATCCTACTTAATTTCCAAGTCCATTCAGAGTCAGCCTGATGCTGAAATAGTTTCAGATACATTCAGGCAGAGGTATATGGTTGGCTTTATTATATTTTTATAGTTTATTATATTGTAAGTAACTGGGCTTTACTACAAAAGTGGAGTTTGGATTTGTGCTCACTTACTGGTTCCCTGAGACTGTGTTTAGCAAGAGAACAGATATGTAGCTAGATATAGAGATTTATGAGCTTAATTAAAGGACCCACATTGTAGGAGATTTGGCAGCTGATGGGTAATTTTCAAGAAAAAGAAAATGATCAATGAAAAGCACCACGGAAATGTGATCTTTCCCTTTGCTTCATGACTGCTAACTTCTCTGGAGAAAAGATCTGAAGGGAGGTGGGATTTATTTATTTCTTCAGTTTTATGATTGCTTGTTGGTGTTTGAAAGCCCCTTTCTGAGATTTATGCCCAGGAATGTGGAATAATAAATAGAGTTTTTAATCAATATCTGTATTGCCAAGTGTTGGCCAATGTCAAGTGCCAGCCAATTGGTTCTTTGAGGATCCAGAGACAATAAACACACCAGTAAGTAACAGATTTTAAAGCTTTATTATTAAGTTTAGTAGACAGATTTAAACAGAAATACATGTCAAACAACAAATCTCTGTTCAGTTATTGAAATTTCCAGTGGTAGAATAACAGAGAGACTACATGACAGCCAATGCACACAAGACCCAGTGCTAGGTTTGGGTGAAGCTCCCATTTGAAGGGACAATACCACTATTTTATCAAAACCTGGGACCAAAACCTCATGATCTTATTTCCATGATATCAAGAATGCAAGACCTGACCTTGACTAGATAGAACATTTGTTTCTCTTGCAAACTGACAAACCGGGGGTGAAATGCTTCTGGTTTGGACCGGATCACCCAATCCAGTAGCGATGGGGGTGGGTAGTTCAGAGAACCGGTAGCAAAAATCCCTGCCCACCCCCATGCCCAGTTGATGTGCGATCACCAGAGGCTTTTTTTTTTTTTTACTTTTAAAAACATTTTTTTCTACAACCTCTTCGGCTAAAGACGCTGTTAAAAATCCTTTTAAAAGGCTCTGACGATCCCATCTGAGTTGCCTAATCATCAGAGGCTTTTTTTTTTACTTTTAAAAGCATTTTTTACAAGAGGTTGTAAAAAAAAAGCAATGCTTTTAAAAGTAAAAAAACAATTGGTGCATGGTGCGCACTGCGCATGCGCAGCCAGCAAACTGGTAATAAACAGGTTCAGATTTCACCACTGTGACAAACCCTGGAATATAAAGAAGAACCTAATAAGTCAGATAAACCCGTGCCAGCCGAAATAATCTTAAAAGTCGCCCTACAGCCATGTAAAGATTTCTCCCTTTAGTAGTTATTCTGAAGTATTATATTCTAAAGTCTACTGTTTTTCAAAAACAGTTGAATTATTGCAATGTTCTCCTACATGGGACTACCCTTTAAGAGTATTTGAAAGCTATAATTGGTCCAGAATGCAGTGGCATGAACAGTTTGGAAGGCCCCTAGGGTGGCACACATAATAATAGCACTGTTATGTGAGCTGCAACTGGCTGACAATCTGCTTCTGGATGCTATTCAAGGTATTGGTTTAAAGCCCTTTTTGGCATGTGTTCAGGATATCTGCAGAATCATCTTTCCCCAATGGGATTGGCCCATCCATTTGTGCTGGCAGAAGGGGCCTACTGTGGATCCCATCAGCCAAGGAATTTCGGCTGGTGGGATCCAGGAGAGGAGCCCCCACCCTCTTAGAAATCTTGTCACAGGAGGTGAGATCTACCTCCTCTCTTTTAACCATCAGGTAAGCCTTAAAACTTGGCAGTGCCCGTTGGTTTGGAGCACTGAAGGAGAAGTTCTTGGCTGGAGGTGGTTGGTGCAGTCATAAGAGAACCACCTCTCTGCTCCAAACCCAGGGTTTTTAGTTTGCTTGAATTTTTTGTCATTGTAATCATTTTTACATTTATAATTGTTTTTATATTTACAGGTGAAATTCGAAAAATTAGAATATTGTGCAAAAGTTCATTTATTTCAGTAATGCAACTTAAAAGGTGAAACTAATATATGAGATAGACTCATTACATGCAAAACGAGATAGTTCGAGCCTTGATTTGTCATAATTTTGATGATTATGGCTTACAGCTCATGAAAACCCCAAATTCACAATCTCAGAAAATTAGAATATCATGAAAAGGTTCAATATTCTAGGCTCAAAGTGTCTCACTCTAATCAGCTAATTAAGCCATAACACCTGCAAAGGGTTCCTGAGCCTTTAAATCATCTCTCAG